TAAGAATCATGTTGTAGTAGTTACATTTTCAAGTTGACTAGTTAAAAATCGTAAAAAATCGAGAATCAGTCAAACATTCTGGAAAAATCAAGATTACATTTTTTTGTAAAATCGCCCAGCCCTAGTATGCATATATTTTTTATTCATTTTTAATTTATTCTATAAATAAAAGTACTTATTTACTCATTTACTTTGAGTATATTTACAAAAAAAAAAGAGATATAAAAGATGTTTAAAGCCATATAATATATTTATTTATGACAGTAAGATTAAGGGGCGAGTGTGTTAAGTATTTTTAATTTATTTTATCTTATTTTATTTTTAGGTGGTGGTTAACTGGTGATTTCTTTGGCATATGTATCTTGATGTCCGCATGTTATTTTATCATCTCTCTTTCTTTTTTTAGGCCATAAGTAACAAGGATCAGCACAGTATTTCCTACACGTTGTCCCGTGTACAGACAGTGGTGGTGGAGTACACTCAAGACAGCAATACAGACATGTTTCAGGTACCGACTCGCTGCTGACTAAGCTATCCTTTAGGACTACTTGGATTGTGTTCGAAAGCGTCCATTAATTTCACTACTCAAAGTGTCAGCCTGAAATAATGCCGTCACTAAGCAGAAAAGAGGTGACACTAGCATCTACTTTGATTCTGTTTCCTACACTGTTTCTATAATTGTGTACAGTGATGCAAGCTTACCAGCTTCTCCGCAGTGTTTGATGTTTAATTTCTCTCTGCATCTCAGATTGGCCGCTCAACTGAAAGTCCAATAGATTTTGTGGTGACCGACACGGTTCCCGGGAGTCAGAGTAACTCTGACACTCAGTCAGTTCAGAGCACCATATCTCGCTTCGCATGCCGGATCATATGTCAGCGAACGCCCCCTTACACCGCCCGCATCTACGCCGCCGGATTCGACTCCTCCAAGAACATCTTCCTAGGGGTGAGATAGCGAGGAAGTTTGACTTCATCTTATGTAAAGACAGTGGGTGATTTAACCTGAGAAACTAGCACTGCTTTTGAGCAGCATAAACAACTGATGTTAGGCCAAATATATAATGAAATCAGATCTGGAATCTGAATAGATTTAAATGCACAGGTATTCTCTTTCTGAAGCATTTGAATGTCGTGTCATCTACCTAAAATAGTGATGTTAACATTTATTCAAAGTACTGAGATGTTTTTTTTTTTTTAAAGATCATTTACTCATCTTCATACCTGTCCAATACCGTATGACTTATTTTCTTCTGGGAAACATAAAGATATTTTGAAGAATGTCTTTTTTCCATACAATGGAAGTCATTGGGTTCCCAATGTTCTTCAAAATATCTTCTATTGTGTTGCAGCAGAAGAACGTCGGTCATTCAGGTTTGGAATGTCATAAGTAAATGTTGACAGTTTTAATTTTCAGGTGAGCTAACTCTTTAAGTATTCAAATAAAATCCTAATAAAAAATTTTTTTACTTACAGGAGAAAGCAGCAAAGTGGAAGACATCGGATGGACAGATGGACGGTCTGACTACTAACGGTGTGTTGGTAATGCATCCTCGCCATGGTTTCACAGAGGACTCCAAACCCGGTGTGTGGAGAGAGATTTCAGTGTGTGGAAACGTGTTCACCTTGAGAGAGACACGTTCGGCTCAGCAGAGGGGGAAAATGGTCAGTGCTCAGATGTTACATATGTATATAAATATAGCATAATTTGTGAAAGCTGTAAAGCAATATCAGATGGAATTCTGAAATGTAAGCTCTATTAAACAGTCATATGGCTCCCTGCAAGACGGGACGTTGGGGCATTCTGGTGCTGTTGACCGGTTGCTCTGGGACGCTGTTGCCACAGTAACAGCCGTGTTGTATTTGCACTTTTACTTTGTGACCTTCACATAAGACAGCTCAGACACTGCCCAATACACACCCAATGTCCATACAGCTGTGTGTGTGTGTGTGTGTGTGTGTGTGTGTGTGTGTTTGTGTGAGACTAATGCAGTATGGTGAAGGTCAAACTAAAGGCTGATCAAGGGTGGCTGCAACCATGAATGATATAATTCCGGGATGAATGCGTGAATTATAGTGTGTTTGTTTTGTGCATGTGCGTATGTCGTATGTGCATTACATACGACATACGACACGACCTGAAATTGGTGTGTTAGAGAAAGGAGACATGCAAAATGTGCAGTGTTGGGGTGCCTCCAGGACCAGGGTTGGGAACCACTGGTCTAGACAAATAGAGGCCTGTAAAGACTCCTAGATATGCACAGTGAAGAACACAAATCAAACTGCTTATGTATTCTTGTTGCACAACTCAACAAGAGTGTTCTTATCACTCAGCATACCCGGTTAAAAAAGTCACCGCTCGCCACTGATATATATGGATGTATGTATGTAATTAATTATTAAATTATGTATGTATGTATTTTTTTATCAACTTTTAGGATTACTGTTCTTGCCGATCCTAAACTAGTGAAATATGAAATTGTTAATATTAATTCTGTGTATAGGATATATAAAAAAATAAAATAAAATAAAAAGTTAAGCATTCATAATTGCAATAAAAAATATATATAAAATTATTATTATTAATTGTTTTATTTTAAATTCATGCATTTTTATTTTTATTGCTATTATAATTATTAATGTATTTATTTTTTTGTCATATTTCCATTATGTCCTCATTTGTATACATTACGTGATATTCAGTACTGTATACAGAACATGTATTATGGGACCTTTAAACTTTGAGGGCAAAGAAAACAGCAACCCAACATACACGCGCGCACACACACACACACACCTCCATGCATGCATACACAAATACAGTGTTGTATTTGCACTTTTACTTTGTGACCTTCACATAAGACAGCTCAGACACTGCACAGTTCACGTGTGAGACTAATGCAGTATGGTGAAGGTCAAACTAAAGGCTGATCAAGGGTGGCTGCAACCATGAATGATATAATTCCGGGATGAATGCGTGAATTATAGTGTGTTTGTTTTGTGCATGTGCGTATGTCGTATGTGCATTACATACGACATACGACATACGACACATAAGACAGATGTCTTAAGCAGTAAATGGTTATATTATTGTCATTCTTTGGCTCTTTTTATAATGAATGAATAACTACTGTACAGTGAATGTTGGGGCTTTACTGCCCCCTGCAGGCAAACTTTCAGCACTGCATTTACTGATAAGATCTGCCTTTGTTTTGCTTTAATCATGCATCATGTGTTAAAAGCATGAATATGGACTCTATTTATAATTAAATCCTCTTCTCTTTTCTCATTGGTCTCTGTCTCTGTGTAGGTGGAGAATGAGACTCAAGAGTTAGTGGACGGCTCTCTGATTGATCTCTGCGGAGCGACTCTCTTGTGGCGTACTGCTGAAGGACTTTCCCGCACTCCCACTGTCAAACACCTGGAGGCGCTCCGGCAAGAGCTGAATGCTGCTCGTCCCCAGTGCCCCGTGGGTTTCAACACCCTCGCCTTCCCCAGCATGCGGCGAAAGGACATAGTGGACGAGAAGCAACCCTGGGTCTACCTAAACTGCGGTCATGTTCACGGCTACCACAACTGGGGTAACCGCGACGCAGAGCGAGAGGGAAGGGAGGGCCGTGAGCGGGAATGTCCCATGTGCCGTGCTCGTGGGCCGTACGTGCCGCTGTGGCTGGGCTGCGAGGCAGGGTTTTATCTGGATGCGGCCCCTCCTACTCACGCGTTCAGCCCATGCGGCCACGTGTGCTCAGAAAAAACAGTGGTGTATTGGAGTCAAATCCCTCTTCCTCACGGAACGCACACCTTCCATGCTGCCTGCCCTTTCTGCGCCCAGCAGCTCAGCAGTGAGCAGGGATACATCAGACTGATCTTCCAGGGGCCCGTGGACTAAATACACCTGAATATGTCCTTTTACCCCAGTAACCCATTTGACAAACAGTAGCCAGGCATTTCTTTCTGTTGATCCTATAATTTGATTTTATAAAGATGACATTTTCTGTGCTCTCAGACTGTTTTTTTTCCCTCCCTTTCTGGTTTGTAAGTGACCTTTATACTGCTTTTTCGAATACAGAGAAAAACAAAAATATATATTTTCAAATAAAAAGATTATAAAAGCAACAAAAAAAAAAATTTTTTTTTAAAAGGATTAGACCTCTTCAGAACAGCAGAGCACATGCACACCCACATTTGAGCGTTCTGATTGGGTGGCTCTGCTTGTCATTTGAAGCGGTGGGCGTGGCCATTACAGATGGTGATGTGTACAGTGTTTATTTGCTAACAGTAATTCTCAGCACTAAAGAGGCAATACACCATCCATGTATGTTTATAATGAGCTTACAGACTATCTGTAAGTCTATCTGTACTCAATTTATTCAATAATTCACAGCATTTCATAAAGCAACTACATTTAGATTCCAGATAACTGTTTTCCATGTCTAACTTAAAAAATACTTAATGTTTTTTTTTTATTTATACACTATCAATGTTTATCAAAGAAAAAAATGTATAGGCGTGTTTTTGGGGAGTTAAGTTCTATGTAGCTGTTCTTTGCTTTCTCTTTATTGTGAGTCTTTTCCATTTGTAGGCTTCGCTATAGCATTCAGATTTTTCCTCATTTGTTCTCATATATGTAGGTTACTTATGATTGTGTGAGTGAAATCTTTGCAATAGTGAACCAACGAGGTCATGCTCAGAGAAATGAACTCCAGAAAGCTCAAGAGGCCTAAAAATCTTCACCTCCCTTTAAGCACAGGCCAAAACCTCATGCCCTTTCAGCGACTTTGCGCTCATCAGCGAGTGTTGCAAAAACGTGTGCGCTTAAGTGTCTGGGTAAGATCCCTGTTTTCTGTTTGAGCCTTTTCTGTGTAGATGACTGCCCTTGTTTGGATATTTTGGAGACACTGGGAAGTAATTTCCATCCGTAGTGCAAAAAGCAGCACTAACCTCTGGAAAAATCCTTTACCTCTTTTATAGGTCAGTTTTAGTCCCTCTTAATTAGCAAATTGAGGTGTGATTAGTTTTGTACTTAACTGAGATCTTGATTCCAGTAATAAAGGGTCATTTTCTCCTTAAGTTTAAAATAGATATTAAACAATATTTTCAAATGAATGACACTCCCCCTGTGTGCAAGAAACTAAATAGTTAAAACTTAAATTGCCATTCAAAGTTTGGGGTCAGTAAGATTTCCTATATCTGTGTGTGTGTATATATATATATATATATATATAGAGAGAGAGAGAGAGAGAGAGAGATATTAATAATAAAATGTATTCAGCAAGGACACATTAAATTGATCAAAAGTGACAGTAAAGACACATGCCACAACAGATTTTTATTTCAAGTAAATGCTGTTATCTTGAGCTTTCTATTCATTGAAGAATCTGAAAAAAAAAAAAAAACTGCATTAGGGTTTCCACAAAAATATTAAGCAGTACAACTGCTTTCAACATTGACATTCCTGAGAACCAAATCAGCATATTAGAATGATTTCTGAAGAATCATGTGACATTGAAGACTGGAGTAATGGCTGCTGAAAATTCAGCTTTGCCATCACAGGAAGAAATTACATTTAAAATATTAAATCTATGAAAATGTAATCACATAAATGCAGCTTTGGTGAACATAAGAGATGTCAAAAGCATTTAATCCTACCGACCCCAATCTTTTGAACAGTAGTGTATGTTTTTCAAAAGCCATATGACTTTCTTATTCTGTGGAACACAAAAGAAGATGCGTATAGCAGTCTAAGCTGCTCTTTTCCATAAAATATAAGACGATGACGTTTTAATTGACATGATAACTTAAATGTCAGCCTATTCCTCACAAAGGTATCATATTACAACCGTGGTTCCTCATCCACTTTCATTCTATGGAAAAGAGCAGCTTTGACATTCTTCTAAACATCCTTTTTTGTTCTGTGGAAGAAAGTTAGTTTGAACAAATTTGAGATGATAGTTTTTTTCCCCAGCAAATTTTAGGTCCTCTAATCTCTATGTGTATGTATATCTGTGTAAAAGTATGCTAATATATTTGATTTTGTAATGACGTTTTTGATTGTTTGATTTCATGTACATGCTGTCGTATGTACTGTGCGAATGTTAAATGTGCTGTACTGTGTTACATGTAAGAATCTGGAGAGCATACGTTGAGTCTGAAGGGTCGAGAATCCCAGGAATTGTGTGAAGTGGATTCTCTGCCTGAGGAGTCCAAGCTCAACTTCCAGAGATCATTCAGTTGCTGCTGTTCTGAACAGCACCCAGACATGGCATACTGGTGCAGGTTTCACCTCAGGGAGTTTCTTCCATCCTGACCACCAGGGCCTGTGTTCATGAAGTATTTCAAAACCTGACAGCTGATCTGGGGTCAGTTGCGTGTGTGGAGATCTGGACCACACTCTGCTCAAAGTGTTGCGAGTGAATATGAAGCTTAATCACGCCACAGACATAACCCCTCACCTGAAATACTGTAATTTTTTGTTTTAATTTGTGGATGCTTCATTTGCAAAATAATTCGCCATCTCCTGTGAGTATTCTTTCCAAACATTAAGCAAACACATTAGATTTGTTAGACACATTTGTGATGCTTCATTTGCAAAATAATTCGCCATCTCCTGTGAGTATTCATTCCAAACATTAAGCAAACACATTAGATTTGTTAGACACATTTGTCTTTTTAAGGGCATCGCTCGTTTGTCTCTGTAGAGACAGCGTGTGTAAAGGGCTTTTTTCCTTTTCATTTTCTGTTTGTTTGAGTTCTTTGACATGTCTTTTGTCACTTTGGTCTAACCGGTCTGCATGATCCTAGTGTGTGTGTGTATGTGAGAGAGAGAGAGAATGCGTGGTTTGAAAAATAAGAATGCATAAAGGCAAATGCTGAGAATGTTTCTGATCTACCATTTTGTACCGACTTTAAACAAATAAACATTTAAAAAGCATGTTGAAAGATTTTGGGTGTTATTTTTTCTTGTCATGGACACCTGAGGCCAAGACTGACTCTTACCTTTATTTAATTCATTTCTGTCTTCAAGGATTATGTTTCTTTTAAGCAATATACAGTGGGTATAGAAAAGAATCACCCCCCTTTAGAATCACATTTTGTTGCTTTGCAGCCTGAAATGAAGATGGACACAGTTTTTGTTTTATCCAGCTGTATTTACTCAGTGAAACTTATAACATCCAAGTGAAAGATAGAACACCAACATGTGAAAAACAAAACAATCACTGAATTGGAAAAAGGATCACCCCCTTGTTGTCAGTATTTTGTTGAACCACTTCTAGGCATTGATAAAGCCTTTGATTTTTTTTTTGATTTTTTATCCATCTCCTGATGACCTGTCCACAACTTTATCCCAGAGATCTTTTGACAGTGCCTTGCCACCCATAGTTGATTGTTTGCTTCAGATGCACTAGCAAGGACTGAAATGCTCCAGAAAAGCTCTTTTCATGCTGTAATCAAAATGACCACAGCTTATCACAGTTGAAAGTCAAATGGTTTTGTGTGCCACTGAGAAGGTGATTAGTTGATTGAGTTTACAAATCATTTTAAGGAGGGGGTGGTCCTTTTTCCAACTCAGTGATTCTGCTTATTTATTTTTTTCTGACATGTTGGTGCTAGCCTGGCTATATCTTTCACTTGGATGTTATAAGTTGCACTGAGTAAATACAGCTGGATGAAAACAAAAGCTGTGTCCATCTTCATTTCAGGCTGCAAAGCAAGGGGTTGATCCT